TTACTCTGGGACTTTGTGTTTCACAAAGCTGAAGTTCTTCTAGTTCTTGTCCTTTGCTACCTAATGCCTGGAATATCTTAGAGTTTAGCTTTTTCTTAGTTTTGTTCTACCAAAAACTCTCTGAATCTCTTTGGTGAACTCTTAGCTTCCTTCAACATGGCTTCTTTCCCCTTATTTGCTGCACATTCTGCTTCATCTGTTCTTTCTCTTGACACACCATGTAATTCACATCCCTTGGCTTTATGTCTTGAAAACGGAGGGACTTGTTCTCTGGACTCTTGTCTGTGAAGCCCATTCCCTCTAGTGTGCAGTACCTGTGAAGCTCATGGTGCCTAGTGTGGTCTGCCCCTGCACATCTCTAAATTTGCACAAATGAGTATTTCCTGCTGTGTTTCAGTCACAGTGATTTTCATTTCCTACTTGGGGAATACCCCAAGGGTACTTGTTGGTAGACACTGAACATTTTATTTCTGGGCTTTAACTTATCATACTTCCTTAATCAGCAGATGGCAGGTGTCCATTTGTTCCAGCCTTGAGTTTGAGTTTTTACATGTTGGAAACTGGTATGCCTGTCTTTGTAAACACCATTGCTGAACAAAGTCACTCATCTTAAAGTGTCTATAATTGGCTTTAGGGACTGTGTGTGATTTGGTGAGTGGTAGTATAGTGTTTACTAAATCCACCTGAAGAGGTGCAGTGTCCCCAGAGAGCGCCCTGTGTAAAGCCCGGTTTCCTTTCTTTTTAGGCTGCGTCTGGGGCGCCCTGTGTAAAGCCCGGTTTCCTTTGTTTTTAGGCTGCGTCTGGGGCGCCCTGTGTAAAGCCCGGTTTCCTTTGTTTTTAGGCTGCATCTGGGGCACCCTGTTTAAAGCCCAGTTTCCTTTGTTTTTAGGCTGCGTATTCTTTTGCTGTTGTCAAACTCCTAGGCTCAAGGGATTCAGTACAAGTACTCTTCACTGTACCTTCATTAATTCAAGATAGAAAAAGATATTTGATATAACCCACATAGGAATAAGGACTTCTTTGGAGCCTTCAGGGTTAAAGAGTTATCATTTATTATTTTCATGTGAATTTGTGTATCCACATGAGCTTATTTGGGCCATGTGGGTGCAGGAACCTGTGGAGGCAAAAAGGACAGCATCAGATGCCTGTGAACTGCCATGTCCTGGAGATGGAACCTGGGTTCCTACAAGAGCAGTAAGTGCTCTTAGCTGCTGAGCCATCTCTTCAGCCATGCCTTCTCTTATTTTAAATAGTGTGCATCTCCAGAGACAAATTTGTAAGAGGCAATAGAACCTATTCCAAGATAGATTGTTAGAGAAAGTACAGATTGGTATTAGAATAACTTCACATTTGTATAAAGAGCTGTTAAACTCATATTTCTACAAGCAACATTTCAGAAGGATAGTGGCAGTTGTTTCAGGGAAGAACAGGTTAAATTCTAAGCCCATTTGAACTGACTAAAATTTTAAACTAAGTGAAGAGAGGGGATTGAGGGTGTGGCTGTGGCAGAGCACTTTTGTCTGTCACTGGGTGAATCTCTGGGCTCCATCCAAGCACTCGAACAACTTCCCCCGAAGACTGGAGGAAGTTTAGAATAATAGTCACTTTTTCCTGCAGCTTGTTTCTTGTTTGCAGTGAGGGATTTTTTTTTTTTTTTCCATTAATGTCTGAGCCAAATGCTATCATTTTGGAATAGTGGAATTCAACTAGGTAGCATTTTTCCCAGTGGGGACCAGAGTGTACTAAATGTAAGTTTTAAAGAGGAACAGTTTTAGGATTTTCAGAATGATAATTTATTTCTATGTTCCTAGAATGGATGGAGTTTATTTTCTCAGGCTGTCATAATTTATAGTCTTGTCATTTCACAGGTTTTGAGTAAGTGCTGTATGAAATGTGGAAGTAAAGTTAAGTGTTCTGACATTTGATTTAGCACAAAAAGTAATTTTTAATACTCCTAACCTTTGAGGCTTGGGCACCTTATGAAGGAAGAAGGAGTTCAATTTTATTTATTCTCTCTGCTGTTAAATGCGCTTTTGATCAGTGTTCATGTTTTTCACTCTTAGACGAAGTGTTCTTTCATGAGAAAGAAAGAAGTATTTTAATGTAACAGTTTTTCAGATTTTTTTCTATATATGTAAAATTTACTTCTTTGAATGCTGAATATCATTTCCTGAGTTCTTTGAAGGTTCTTTGAGGAAAATGATGCATGCAGGTCTATTTATTAAGGGTAGTTAGGCTTGCCTGTAATGCTGAAGCATTTCCTCTAAGTTCTCTGGTTGAAAAAGATTGCTTTTAAAAATATTAATGGATTTTTCTAAGTGTTAGGCTCATGGTTACTGTTTACCCTTACTCATATAGATATGTATAGTATGTGTCTTTTTCAAAGTGGTTCCAGGTTTTCCCTGATTCTTGGCATATCCTTAGAAACACTATAGTTTGGGTATTGTTTCTTAGTATGAAATTGAAATTCAAAGGAATGAATTAGTCACTTAATGCCATAGAGCCTTGTTAATACTAAAATAGAAATTTAAACAGTGTTAGGTTAGATTTAGATATAAAGTTTAGATTTCAAAAGACTCTGTCCTTGAAAAATATATCTCTCTGTCTCCTATATTCTAGGCATTCTGGTCAGATTGGAGAGGAACAGGTAAGGCCCAGTTACTGCCTTAGGGGGTTGCAGTTAGTGGCAGAGATTACTCAGTGGGAGCAGTAAGTGGGTTGCCTGACTGAAGGTCCGTGGAACTCAGATATTTTGAGAAAGTGACAAATCTTGAAGGAATAGAGCAAGTCTGGTGAGTAGTGGGTAGAGAGATGTTTGGCAGACAGAAGAGCACTGATAAGCTTACGATTGGCTAGTTGGGCTCTTGTAGGCTGTGGAAGCAGAGAAGTAGGACTGGACTGTGCCCTAAATTGAGAGGTCTGAACTTGAAAAGGTGATGGTGGGGGTTTCAGAGTACTAAAAAGAGAGTTTAGGTCTAGAATAATTCAGTCACCAGAATCTGAGTGAGTCTTAGTGCTTTTTAGTTTGCCACACTCAAATGGTTAAATATTTCTGAGCAGTTTACCTCATATGTATGATGGAGACAACCTTTATTTCACAGGCAGGTAGGAGGACTAGGAAAAGAAATGGAAAGAGAACACCCACACCCATAAGTACTCTGTAATGAAAGATGAAGTAGACACAGTTCCCAGCATATATTTTAAGGGAGAAGTGAAAACATTATGAGGTGATCTTTTAGAATATTAGAATATTCAGCATTTCTCAAATAGTTTAAGACACTGCTTCTATAATTTCACACACACACACACACACACACATTTATGTGTGTATTTATGAGTATCTCTGTGTGTGTATGGGGGGGTAACTGAAGAGGCCAGAGGAGGGCTGGGGTCCTTGGTGGTGGAATTACAAGTGGTTGTAAGCTGCTTGAAAAGGGGTTCTGGGAACCAAACTCAGGTCCTCTGGAAGAGCAGCAAGCACTCTTAACCGCTGAGCCATTTCTCTAGCCCCCTCATTTTATGTTTCTGGACTTGTTACTTAGGAGTCTTGGTGTGGCAGAACTTGAAGGCAGGACATTGTCTTTAAGGTTTGACTGTCAAGTGATAAATTTACAAAGACCTTATGTGGAATGTGTTTTGTTTTTGTTATTTTATGCATTCCCTTTTCTCAATACCTTGGCCTAGGAGTTATTAGTTGAACACATGATTGTATCTTATCATTTGCTAATATTTTAATATTTTAAATTACTGTTTCATTTAGGCTTTTTTAACTTAAAGAGTAAAAATTAAATAGCAAAATAAAATAGCACATGGATATATTTTTGTAAAATATTTAACTGATGGTACCACAACAGTGCCACAGAATGGTTAACTTAAGTTTGGAAGCTGAGAAGTTTCAAGATCAAGGTTCTGGATCATGGGATTTGTGGTGAGGACTCTTGCTGACTTGTAGATACAAGCATTCTTACCAAAGCCTTTCCCTCTGTGCTACATTTTGATAGCAATGGCTTGGGAGTAAGCCCTTTGTTATCTCTTTAAGGGCATAGTCTTACAGAATGAGGGCTATGCCCTTATGACCTCATGGGATCTTAATTATTTCCTTACTTCAGATACAGCTACACTTTGAGACCTGACATGTTAAGTCAACATACAGTAAATTTGGAGAGGTTCCCTTAGTGATTTTGTGATTTAGTATTTTGTAGCAGTGAGTGAGTGAAGTTAGGTATCCATTATGCCGTACTTCTGTTCAGACCTGCAGGTATATGTTAGTCTTTGAGTCCTTACTTCCCATGTTGATAGTTGGTTAGCTAGAGAAGCTATTTACAGTTGAGCTAACATAAAAATTTATTAGCCATTCTAATAGTGTCTTTAAAAAAAAAGATTGGCCTATTTTATTTTGTGTGTAAGTGTTTTATTTCGTTGTGTGCCTGTGCACCACATTGGTGGTCTATTTTGTGTGTGATGTTTTATTTCGTGGTGCTCATGCACCACGTGTGTACAGTGCTGTGGAGGCCAGAGGACGGTGGTGGACTCCCTAGAGCTGGAGGTGCAGGTGGTTGGTTGTAAGCTGCCGCGTGGGTACTGGGAACTGAACCCGGGTCCTCTGCAAAAGCAGCAAGAATTCTTAACTGCTGGCATCAATTCAGTCCTTCTGGTAGTATCTAGAGCCTGTTCTACTTCCTTGACTCCCTTTCCCCAATTCCAGGTCCTTACTATAGTTTGATACTTGTAGGAAGTATCTCCCTAATTCAGTGGTGATTTATTAAAATCATACTTGCAAATTATTTATATGTTAAAGTTATACAGTTTTTAAAAGTGACTAAATATAATGGAAGTGTCATATAATGGAATTTGGAACAAAAAAAACCTGAACTGAGTTTAGAGTGTAAGTACCCCTCTACCCCATCTTAATTCTTTCTAACTTGGTCTGCATTACAGGGGTTTGAAGAAGGACTTTGACCTGTTTCCCAGAGTGCTTATGTTGATATTCTTTCTCATAGGCCAGCCCTCCAGACCTCTATATTGAAAGATTTAATATAGCTCTGGGACAGTATATGGGAGCATTACAGAGCATCGTGCCTCTTTTCATATATATGGTAAGTTAGAGCTTTGTCTCCTTTTCCCAAACCATGCAGGGTTAACTGTGTTCTTTTTTCTTTTACTATATTTTATAATTTCCGTTGCTGAGTCAGATGACAGATGGGTGTCTTTATGAGTCTGGAGTTAAGAGTAGGAACTCTAATCACCATCCGTGGAAGTGAAGAAGGACATTTCTTCTTCCCCCTTCTTACAGATATCTTTTATTAAATTTGTTCTTTAACAGTTTCTTACATGTAGATAGTACATTCTGTTTACTCTTTCCTCCAACCCTCTTTTATTCCCTCTGTGCTGCCTGCCCCTTGCCCCCCAATATTCCCACAGGTCCCATTTACATACTTGTTAACAGAAGACCTTTAATCCTCTCAGGAAGGAGAATATTAGATCATGTTAAAATTGAAACACCTTTGTTCAAAGACAAAATACCAAAGACAAAAGTAGGTGGGGAAGATTATGGAAATTTTGCAAAACACTAGATACAAATTCATTGTCTTTGGTAATTAGTTTTCTTAGATTACTTAGAAAAAGGTCAGTCATACCTTTTTTGACAAAGGTATGAATTGGATAGTTTATAGAAAATATATAGCATAAAAAAGGAAAATAAATCCAACATCATTGTTAAATACAACTTAAAATTACTTTCTTTTTAAAAAGTGCTTAGAAATACTCATTTTTTATGAATCTGTAGAGAAACAGGCCTATAATTTAGAGTAGAAATGTAAATTGGTAAAATTGCCTTGGAAGACTTAAATTTTATCTACAGAATTTCTCAAACTCATAAATAGATATAAATACTAAGCTGGGTGATATATCATACATGCGTTTGCTTTATTCATTCATTTATCTATTTATTTATTTATTTATTTATTTAATTTTTTATTTATTTATTTATTTATTTATTTTTTTCAAATAGCAGAACATTGGCCATATTTGTGTTGTCATCAGTTGGGGACTGTTTATTACTGTGAAGTTAACGTTTGAATTGTCCAACCTTTCAAAAGAGCTGTGACTAGGAATGGTTGGGGTTTGCTGTTTGCTGCTCTTTTTATTTTACTATTTTTTTAATTGATAAAATTATACATTATTCTCTAAAACAGTGTTTAGTTCTCCCATTCATATATAAAAACTTTCCTTTTTTTTTTTTTTCCCCAGAATAAGTTTTACATAGAAACTAAGCTTAACAGAGACTTAAAAGATGACCTTATAAAGCTGTTTACAGAACATGTTGCAGAGAAGCACATTTACAGCCTAATGCGTAAGTATACTTTTACTTCTTATGGGGGTGAGACAGCACTAGCCATGGTCGTCTTTTTATTTTCTCCTCTCCCTTCCTTTTCCAGCTCACTCTTACTCTTTCCTTTCATCTGAGAACATTGTCTTCTAAACTAATATTGACATCTCTAGAACCAGAGAGCAGGAAGTTGTGAAGCCTACCTTAGTCTATGGCTAGGGATTGAAACTGGATTAACAGTCACCCACTGTTCTGGACCACTTAGGCAGGTGTCTTGTGCTTGGCCTGATCTATGTTGTCGTTTCTTCCCTGAGCAGGAGCATGATTAGGAGGTCCATACATAACTGCATTAGCAGTGACAGAGGGTCAACACAGGCTCTGGTTTCCACTGTTAGTCTAATGTGGCTGCCATTTACCATGTTAGCAAACTGCATTTTTAAAGCATGTACCATGGCTGTATAGATAATAAGGTCCAGGTGCCAAGCTCAGTTTTTCCCCATCCCTGGCTCATAATAGGTGGCATTGTTTCCTCTTTATCTAAAAAGAAGCAACCCAATCTGAGTGAACTCCAGGCTAACCATCACTTATGACTCAGCACCTTCAAAAACTCATGTTTTGGTCAATCTAGCCAGGCATTTTCTTATCTTGCAAATAATTTGACACTAATGTGGATTGTAGTTTATAGTTTCTAGCAGTCTTTTAGTTGTAATTAGTTGCCGCCACAGAGTTTTACTGACATTTACAAAGTAATTGTTTCAAAGCTTAACCACAAGCTCTTGTTAGAGAAGATTGACATACTGTGTCAGTTTACTTTTTCAAGGCACAGTTTTCACACAAGAGTGTAGATTTGAGTGATGTCATTGTGCCTCAGAGAATCCAGAGTCCAAAATAAGAGATTCACTATCATGCATTGTTTTTAAGACTGGTCAAAGCCGGGCAAGCTGGCTCACATCTGTAATCCCAGCACTCGGGGAGGTAGAGGATCACTGTGAGTTCAGGGCAGCCAAGGCTACAAAAAGAAACCCTGTCTCAAAAAACAACAACAACAAAAAGACTGGTCGGATAATTATAAGATTTTTTGTACATTAACCCTGAGATATTCCACTTGTTTTGGTTTTGAGAGAGGGTCTTTCTCTATAACCCAAGCTGGCGTGGAACTTTAAACAATCCTCCTGCCTAAGCCTCCCAAGTGCTGGGGTTGGAGAGGTGTACTACAGCACCGGCTTCTAGCCATTGGTCATAGACTTGAATACTGACAGTGCTTGTAACTTTTTAAAGCATGTTTTCTTCTTTGTTAAAATGTCATAGCGAAATGCTCCATCTGATAGATTATGTATTTCTTTTCTAAATATGTTTTTATACTTGCTAATTTGGAAGTCAGTTTTGTTGGACATGTAGAAAGAATATTGAAGAGAACATTGTACTTAGATTGGGTGAGAGTACTTCTAGTGTGGGATTTCATGAAATTGATACTTAAAGGCAGACATCCTTTTTTCCCAGCAAATGGAAAAAGCCCTTAAATTTTTATAAATTGGATAAAGCTAAACTTATTAGATATTGTGTTGAACTAGATATTATAGTTACGGTGGAAGACAGAGAATGTGACTGTTGGTCGCAGTCGTTTGGGTCCCATGAGAGGAAGCTCTATAAGTGTTTTAACAGCTGCATAGGTGATCATCAAAAGAATTTTTGAACAGGTATACACACATGGTTTACATGTAGTAGGATGTAGTTGTTTTAGATACTTTACAAGTATTTAAAGTATTAAACTTCATGGCACTATAGGATAGGTTGTCATTACCATAAAAATTGAGGCAAGGATAAGGTCAAAATAATGATGATTCAGGGTTGGTGTCTTGGCTACAATAGAACAAGTAAGTATCCTCAGTTTCTGTAATTTTCTAAAAGTCTGAGCATTAGTTTTCTTTTTTTGGCTTTTAACAGATTTTGACTTGCTACTATTCCTATTTGGAAGCATAGTGGCTTCAGCCAGCAACATCTTTTAATTAGCTGTGTAATCTGAAAAGGACTTGGTAAGGCGGTTTATCTTCTCAGCTCCACACTGGCTGATGTGACCCAGCTAGGGCTTCCCATTGCTGCCTTACATAACTTGAAGTTTGTGTGATTTTTAGTTTCTCAGGTATGATTTTCAGTTTTCTCAGTGAATGTTCTTAGATTCAGAAAGTAGAAACTTAGAAACTGTCTAAAGTTCTAGGCTCAGAAAAAGTTGTTTTACATTCTATTTGGTGAGCAGTTACAGAGTCTAGACCCTTGGGGGATCAGGGACCCCTCCTATCTCTCAGTGGAATGTTTTAAACTAGTGTAGAGTCCATATCTTAAACTTAGTAAGGCAAGGCAAAATGAAATTCTTTGTGCTAAAAACAAATTGGTCCTCAAATGTTCATGAACTAATGTTTTGTGAATATGACAGTGAGTGTTATCATTGTAGGTGAGGCTACTTTTCTTTCAGTGCTGTGTGTATGATCATGTGCCCTTAGAGAAATGAACTAATTTACGGTTTTGACTGCTAATAAAATTGTTTTCCCTAGAAATTAGTTTTCATCATGAGTTAAGCTGAAAGCAGAGCTCTAGGAGTTTACATTAATTGAAGTACTTGCATGGTGCTGTACTGGCAGATGCGACAATAAATATGTAGCAGTCAGGTTGGGCATTTCCAGAGACAGTGTAATGTGTTGACTTTTGCAATTAAAGATAGAGTTTACTTTGCAGAGACTTTCTGTACGTTTTAGTACTAGTTTGACACTTTTTGAGTTCATGTAGTTAAGTTTTCATTTTCAGAACAACTTAGTAAAAGAGTCTCCTGGACGATGAAGACGGTGAGATGGCTCAATAGGTCAGGTTGCTTTCTGCCAAGTCTAACCCTTTTAGTCTTTGGACTCAGCAGTGTAAAAGCAGAGAAGTGGCTCTTACCAGTTGTCTTCTGACCTTCACACATGCACTGTGGCATTCATGTACGTGTATACCACACAGACACACACACTATAAATAAATGTAATGAAAAGTTTAAAAAAGAAAACCCTATGCAAGATCGTAGCACCAAGGAACATTTCAAACAGAGGAGCTCAGGACCCTCCAAGGTACTTAGGGCTTTAACCTTATAAAGGAGAGATTAGAGCTAGAGCTCTACTCACAGCCTGTGACTGATACACATTTCTGAGTAGCGGGATTGTTGAAGGACCTGTTCTTTAATGCCTGCCTTTCAGAAGAGACTGGTTACGAAGGACAGCACTTTACTAGGTCAGTCCCTGTGAGACCAGTGTCTCTGTGGTAGCATGTCTGAGGGAGGAGTGGGTGTACGGGTCACAGGGAATGCAAGTCCTTCAGTCTCCTCTTGCCATCAGCTCCCTATGATTTAGATAGGTGTGTGCACGTGTGTGTATTGGTGGTACTGCTCATCTAGTTTGCAAACAAAGGGCAGCCCTTGCTGGGTGTAGTGAATACCCCCATCTCCCACCCCCTGCCTCTGCATCCTCAGCAAGTCCCAGTTTCTTAGGTGAAAAAAAAAAAGCAGAAAAATTTTCTAAATACTTTCCCCAAAGAGCTAAGATAGAGAAGAAAGGATGTTAGCAAATTATTAAAATATCTTATCAGGCTCTTAATAATTCTTTTTCACTAGTTGGTGGTTATATTTTGCTTTATTGAGATAGAGTCTCTTGTAGTCCAGGCTAGCCTGAAACTCTTAAAGATGACCTTGAACTTCTGATCCTTGTACTTCAAGTCCCTGGTTTATGTGGTGCTGGGGATCAAACCCAGGACTTCGCACATGGTAGTTGAGCACAGCCAAACCTAACTGTACCCCAGCATCAAGTAATACTTAAGAATATAATTAGTTACACTCACTTCATCCCAATTTTTTTTTTTTTTTTTTTCAGACATGATTTCTCTGTGTAGCTTTTGCTGTCCTGGACTTGCTTTGTAGACCAGGCTGGCCTCAAACTTACTGCCTCTGCTTCCCCAAGTGCTGGGATTACAGGCGTGTGCCACCACACCCGGCTTCATTCCAAATTATTTATACACATTTCATAAGTCACGTATGTCTTTAAAGTTTGCTATTTCTTCATAGCTGTCTGATTGACATAGAAATTATGGGTAGGGTCTATTGGCAGAGGTTTGTATTTAGCCATAATTTCAGTGTGTGGTTGAGCATGAAATCCTCAGGTATGGTCAAAAACTAGGAACAAGGATTGGTAAAAAGAGCACTTATATTTGGAGTACATGCTAAGATTTTTCAGAACGTAACATTTAGAATTTCAGTTTTTAAACATTTTAAAGCATCACGATTTAGGACAGTTTACATTTATTATCCTTAAAATTTGTCACTCAAAATTGACAGTGACCTTTATTAGTAACGACTTCCCATTGGGAGTCATAACCTATGTCTGAAGTTCCCTAATTATTGAAGTAAGAAGGTATTTCCATTAAAAAAAAAAAAATGGTTAAAGGAAAATAGTTAACTACAGACCTGGCTTATATAAACCCACCGTTTAGTTTTCTTCATTTCTTTCCCTCCCTTCCCTGTTTTTGATTTTTTGATTTGGATAGTGGGTGGCTTTGTTTTTCTAATCTTTGGGAGACAAGTTAAAAATGAACTGTTTTAGGGCAATAGCATTTGCTCTGTTCCATAAACAGTGGAATTAGTGTTTGTTACTGAGATAATCTAAAAGTGTTATGAAGTATTACTTGTTTTAAAGGGGCGGGGGGGATGTAGTAGGTAATATTTTGTTCAGTCAAAAGCCAAGGTTAATTTCGTTGTAACCAGAGTTGCTAAAGTTGAAAAGGTGATTTGTCATCTTCTCTAGCCTTTTTCATAGGAAGGTTCCTCCCCCCCCCCCCCAAGAAGATGGAGCATTTGGGAAAGTAGGCTTTGATATAGTTAATAAAATTGTTGGTTTTGAGTATCCCTAGTATACAAATCCAAAATGCTCTGAAATCTATAATTTATTTTGTATTGAGGGGAAGGGGATCCAGTATGTAGTTCTGGCTAGCCTCTAACGCAGGTCTGCCTGCCTCTGCCTCCTGAGGGGCAGGGTTAAAGGTATATACCATCATCATTCCCAGCTGCGATCTGTAGATTTTTGAGCGTGACAGAAATTGGAGTACTTCAGATTTGTTTCATTAGGGATGCTCAGCCAATAAAATCCCAAATGACTTCTGATCCAAACTTTTTAGATGAGGGTGATTTGAGAAAGGGTCCTGTGTCATTGGCAGGCACGTTGAGCTACCTAGTGAGTGTCCCCAGTGTTGCCTTTAGAAGAGGCTTTCCTTCTCTCAGACACTTCTCTTCTGCTTTGCTTATTGGCGCTGCAGCAAACCAGGGCAGATGCCTGTTTTATTGTGTGCTGTGCTGAAGGCTTTTATAATCTTTTGTGTGTATAAGCTCTTGCTCTGTCTTGTGCTGCTCCTTTCTTGTTGTGTTTACCCATTCAGCCTTAGAAATACTAATAGAGAAACTTACTGTTAGCAAGTGTTACATGCTTTTTTCTTTTTCTTTTATTCTTTTTCCTTTGTGTTTGTTTCCTTTTTCCTTTCTTTACTTTTTTCTTTTTCTTTTTTTTTTTCTTTTTCTTTTTCTTTTTTTTTTTTTCTTTTTTTTTTTTTTTACCTGTTTTTTCTTCTTATTCCAGCTTTACTTTTAGAAGCCCAGTCAACACCATTTCAGGTCACACCTTCAACTATGGCAAATATTGTGAAAGGCCTGTACACTCTCAGACCAGGTAAACACCTGTCATTTCTGTTGGGATTGGGCCTGTGTTTCTATTTATTACAGCCTTATCCAAGAGGGCAGTGGTCTTTACATGCTTCATGAGGTCAAATGACATTTGGGTTTACGGTAGCAAGAATCCGGGAACTGGAATCAGTGAGAAATGCTGGTTCAGGGTTCACTTGGAACTTACTCTGTAAAACAGCTATTCTAGTTTGTGTAGCATCTTGAGAGAGCCACAAAATAATTTGTTGGATACATTTACTAGGTATGGTGGTGACCTTTGCAAGTGTCACACTTGTGACACTGAGGCAAGAGTGTAGTGAATCTAAGGCCAGCTTGAAAGCTAGACTGTTATAAAACAAAGCAAGAAAAAGGAATCTTGTATTTGGTCTTAGTTTTGTCGTTGCTGTTACAGAGTTTCTCCTTCATTTCATGTTGTAAATATGCATAGGAATGCACACTGAGATCACATCTTCTAGTTCAGTTTGCACCTGCAATGGCTCTAGAACAGTTGATAAAGTTACAGTCAGGACTATTTGAGGAAGATACATAAACAGTAAACACAGAGGATTTTTTTTTCTTGACAGAAATTATTGTTTTGTGAACTTTGGAAATAAAATGTAAATGAAGAGCTTAGCCTGATACAGATAGTCATTTTTAACTGTAGTTATTCACCACTTGAATTTAATGATTATTTTAATAATTATTAATAATTATTAAAATAATTCATGGCTGATTATTTTAAAAGACACTTCAAAATTTGGCTTGCTAAAATAAGAACCAAGTAAAACTGGAATCAAGGAAGCAGATTCAAGAAATATTCTTTCTCAGGGTACTATAAAGTGATTAGTGACTTGTAGAGTGTTCATGTTTATGTAACTTTGGTTTTGGTCTTAAACTCTGTTCTTTGTCATTTTTAACAAGTCATTTGTATAAAATGATTGGTTGTATAAAATTAAAAAATATTACATATTTTAGTAGGCTGATATTTTTCTTTTAGTTTTTTTCTGATATTTGAATTATAGTGTTATTAAAATACCCCATGAATATCTTTTGTATACTATGTTATGAATGATGTCTCTCTTTTATGTTGGAAGTCTTCTCAGTGCAGTTTGACAAATTCTGCCTCCTAAGTAGGCCATGGCCTTTTACACATGCAGCAAAATTGCAGAATGAAGCTATTATCACTGTGGGTATGAAAAAATGTAGATGCCTGTTTATCTAAATTCTATTTTATCCAGGTTGAGCTCTTGTAATAGGATTTATACTTCTTGTGAGGAGAATTCTGTATTTGAGAATTGTCCTTTTCAAAAGGTGAACTTTATCACAGAATAACCTTTTGCTGCCCTAGGCGTTTTCAGAGGCATTATTAAACATATTTTGACATTTCCATGTCTTGCCAGTACCCATTATTTCCTGGTCTAATAAAATTCTAGCCACCTGACAGATTAAAGTTGGAATATTTCAAAAGCTGAATTTTAAACATAGAAGTGTCTTATGTCACAGGTGTCCTCAGTAATGTTAGTCTTTATATGACACATTTGAGTTACCTTGAGAGGTTTTCAGCCTTAGATTTCTGCCCCCACCCACTGGCAGTTTGGAGGACTTAGCATTGATGCTAAGTTTGCATCAGTTTTTAGAAACAGCTTCAGCATTCTCACCTGCTTCTTTTCATCTAATATGCACACTTTTTGTTGCTTTATCTTTATTTTAATGACTACTTGAAGTTATACCAACTGGTGGATGGATTTGCCTTCTGGCACCTTAGACTGATTGGCTAGTCATTACCAGAACACTCCAGTGACTCTTTCATGCTAAACCACACGCCAGAGAGGGCACACCACTGAGGCTATTTGCCATGGCACTGTGCAAGGGAGGTATAGACTGGCCTGCATCACTCCCAGCACTGGAGTGTTTCCTTTCATTTAGCTCTTTATTTGGACATTGTTTTGTTTTTTTCTACATTTTACTTGCCATGGGCCCGCTACTACACAGCATCAAAAATGTGGCCATTCAGATTGCAGCTTTCAAATGAGCATACTGGCTTTCCAAAGCATTGGCATATTAGTGGTTTTTCAGTATGAACAGCCACAGTGTTTACAAAGGGGTCTTGAAAGCCTTACCTGAAACAGGTGGAAAAAGCTGAACAGAGGTCATGGAAGACCCAGTCAGGAAGGCCAGATAGCAGCGCCATCCCTGAGTGGGTGACCAGTGTGCCTGTGTGTTTTACCTTTAATGATTAATTCAATATTAACAAGCCTACCTAATTCTGTGTATGTGTGGTTTTTTTTCTTCTTCAAATAGTCCATTTCTGTCCTTTACTCATCTGAACCTGATTTGTATACACACTCCAATATACATTTTTGTCATATTTGGTGGAAATATATTCCTGTGATCTCACTTTGCCTTTATATTTTCTATAGATTATTCTTTTGGTCTTTTTCTTAATGCAATTTTTCTTTTACTGTTTGGCTTCTCTTCCCACATGAAATTGTGATTTAACAGGGATCAAAAAAGATTTTTATTTCCTAACCACCAACTAGTTCTCCACCTCTCTGCCCCATTTGGGTTGCTTCCTCCGAGCTATACTTAACCACTTCCTCTGAAGTGTCTTCTGGGGCTGCTCTGTTGTTTGAATTAGTGGCTCACAGACCTCGGATTGCCATCAGGCTGCTTCTTTCCACATCTCTTCCGCTTGGATTTGCCCAGAAATCTCATTTGTGTTTTCCTACCTTTGGAATTCTTTTTTACAATATTTACGTGAAAGTTACAAATTTTCATTCAATTTTTGTTGAACCAATACTGTGAAAATGTCCATTTTCTTTATACTTTTAGAAAGAAAAAAATACATTTTGTATGTTTAACAAAATAGGGTTACACTAGGTTTTATTTGGTTTAATACATATTTTTGTTGTTTAAATAGCAAATGTGCTTGTTTTGTTATTATTTTTCTTGATGAATCATTTGTTTTCCTTCACAGAGTGGGTTCAGATGGCTCCAACGTTGTTTTCTAAATTTATTCCAAACATTCTGCCCCCAACTGTGGAATCTGAACTTTCTGAATATGCCGCTCAAGATCAGAAGCTTCAAAGAGAACTCATACAAAATGGTTTTACCAGGCAAGTTGCCTTTTTCTTTAGTGACAATTTCCCATTTCCCTATGCTTCTAGCCTGGACAGCGAAGCCAGGCATCTTGGACAGAGAAGTCATTGTCTGAGAGCTGGGGCTTTGTCTGTAGAGATTTTCAGCTCAGTGCAGAGCTGATATAAGCTGCTCATTTTTGTGTGCATTTTGAAGAAGGAATAGTAGATGGGACAAGGCCCTTCCACCTTGGAGTTTTTCACATTAATGCTGAGCACAACAAAAAATATTATTGAAACATTATAATCAGTTACTATGCATTTTTATCACTATCTAATGTTCTTTAAAAAGGGTATCTCTTTATAATGTCTAGAAAATTCCCTTTCCTTTCTTTTTGTGTTTAAGTTTATTTTTCTAAAAGTTTTGCAATTTTATATTATGGCCATACCCCAGAGAAATCTTAGAAAGTATAGTTTGTTTGTTTGTTTGTTTGCATGCTTCTTTCTTTCTTTTCTTTCTTTCTTCCTTTCTTTCTTCCTTCCTTTCTTTCTTTCTTTCTTTCTTTCTTTCTTTCTTTCTTTCTTTCTT